AACATAACGAGAGTGAGCAATACAAAAGGAACAAAAAACAACGTGTTCAGAATCTCTACAAGAAAGAATTAACAGCATTGATGTCAAGCACTGTAGGGGGGTGAAGCGGTTGATTCAGGTGATGTACTGCTGCGATCACGAACTCAGAAAGTAGACGACACTGGTGTAGAACTGTTTATTACCAATCGCAAGGGGGTTTATATAGCACTGATATTGTTGATTACTTCATCTTCTCCTTATCCTTCATTCCATCACTGCTTCGTGATCGCAGCAGTCCATCACCTGAATCAACCGCTTCCCCCTCCCCCCCCTTACATCTTCCCCTAAGTGACGAAGTTGGACGGACATGCCAGTCTTTAAATAGGGGCTTTCGTAGGGAGGAGCACCATAGGCAGGTTTTCTTTCTTTTTTTTCGTTTTTTTTCAGGAGGTAATCATCCAAGCCGCCAAGGTGCTCCTACCCTACCTAGGCTTATTTGGGAAGCTAATTTTCCTCAGCTGTAATCGCATAAAAGAGCTAAGGTGGTTGGTTTCCACCATCCCCCTACGCATACGATACAGTGCTAGTATGACAAGGACTAACATGTTAGATTGAGTTCATTTCTTGATATACTGACCTTCGGATGGGTGGCCCCCCAACTACATTTTCACCGTCACTTGTTACCTCATCAGCCCACCATCATTGCGCACCCCCGCCAAACCCTTCCACTCATCCCAAAGTTTCAATACTTCGCAACTCATTTATTCGCCTCTTTATCGCAATCAAAAATCGATCAAAAATTTAACACAATTCATCACTTATTCGGTTTTGCCCTTCCCTCCTTGCACGTGGCTGAGCCGTCTCATGGAGCCTCACCATGAGTTGGGCACACATCAGACGTACCTCGCTGAGCTCTTCTCAACGCGGCCCTGCGTCCCCTGATGTTGTTGAATCAAATATGTGAATCGAAAGCAATTCAATATGATATAGGCACACATATACAAATCATGTATATGTAAGAAGTTTAAGAAAGAAAGAAAAGATACGAAAGATAATAAAAAGGAAAGAGGAAGCAGTCAACTTGAAGCGGAGGTGAAAGATGGCACCTTGAAACTTCCAAAATGAACTCTTCACACCTAAAAAATGGGAAACTTCTGGTAAGTTCTGTCATATTCTCTGGATCTTGGGGGAAAAATATCGAAATGGTATCTCGCTACCTCAATAAAGCAAAAAGAACAAGAAAAAGAATGATGAAAGCGTATGCCCCTCCAAAAGAAAGGAATGACTAATTCTTGTCTTCTCAGAGTACCGTCAATCACCTCAACGAGTGAGCTCCTACATATAACACATTCCAACTCTAAAAAGTATGCCGCGCTTCTATGTATAAGCCAATGTGGTCACTCATTTGCAAAAAAACAAATGAATATTCGGACATCCCTCAGGGGTATTTTTCTACTAGTCGCAATTAAAAGTTAACAAAGCAAAAATAGCAAGGAAATTAGGGACTGGAATCCGAGCACACTCCGCAGAACCACTAGAAACAGGAAATTCTTCATTGTGGACAACAACAAATAACAAATGCAATATTTTCTTTGATCAAGCGTTAACAGGAAAAGAAAACAAAGTAGCAAATGAAAACGAATTGAGATAGAACAATATATTAAGTCAAAAATAGGATAATAAAAAAGAAACAGCTGACGGCGCAAGAGCTGATCACACTATTATAAGCCGTTTGTTGGGCAACTCCATCTCATTTTGCAAAAAAAATTCATCTCTTCGACTAGGTCTTATGTTCAGCGTCCGGTCTCCTTGTGGGTTGAATCTCGCCTGGGTGTGGCTGAACCAATCATATGTGTCTGGTGCGCGTTAGGATAAATGTTTTATAACGATACACACACAAATCAACGGAGCACACGAATTGGAAAGTCCAATAATGAATTGAAGGACGCCGTGGCTTGCCCAGTCTGCACACGTCATTGTTGTATAGACTCGTCAAAACAAAGTAAATGACAATGCTTTATGAATACACGTTTACAAAAAAACATGTCAATGAGATCTTCACATGTCAAGAAGGTCTCCATCTTTCATTGTACTCTACTTGTCGAACATTCTTCGGTTTCTCAGTGATCTTAATGTTGTTTGCAACATTCATACAGATGACATGAAAATTTATGAAGAGAACTTTGGAGAAGAACTTGGCCTTGGCCATCGGAAGCAATTGATACAGTAGTTGGATTATTTGAAATAAACCATCTTCCACTTTCTCGACAGAACACAAATGTTTTGCTTAGGCAAGCATGCTCGGAATTCTTCATATCGCATGGGAAGCACGCTTCTCAAAGTGGTACCAGAAAGTCGTAAACTGAAATTTAGCTATGACATTTCAACCATGCCAGCGCAACCTCAGATTGATTCGCAGTTTTCAGTAACAGAGGTCGAACGAGCCTCAATCCATTTTACGTCGTAATCTTACGCCCACTTTATCGGGCCTGAGAAATCTATTGATAAGTTGATATGACCCGGTTGAGTTCATTTACAGGATGTTGTTGTTTGGTATTGACTTTTCTTTCTTTAGCACCCTGTCGAAATCCTCAGGCCTGCCTAAACGGTATACACACATGGGTTACATTCAATGCCGATAAAATCTGAAATATTACATGCACTAGCATAATCGTATGAAAGGCGTTCCCGTGTACTTTGACTTTTCTCTTCAGGTACGCCACTAATCACAACAGATAAGAGTCTCTTTACTTCCTGGTAGGGTAGCCCTGCTTGAGTAGAAGCAGGATGAGTAGAAGCAGGAACACTACCGGACGCCGTTCGACCCCGATCCTCTGACGTGTTATCAGCACTAGTGACAGGTGGGGACTCACGAAGCACTAACTTGCGAACACGATCGAATTCTTGCCTCAGCTCGACATGCTCCAAGCGAAGTGACTGGAGTTCACGTGTGATCGCAGTAATCACCTTCTTTATCCCGTCAGAAATCCGGCTAGACTTCGTCTAGACTCCACCTGCTCTTGCAGCTCCTTGGGGAGTGGGAGCACCAGATCCACCGTTCCTGGCTCGCCTTGCTTCTGCTACCCACAAAGCAAATAAAAAAGCAAATGAAAAACAGCAAATTCCCGTTTGTGGTGGCATTCGAGACGATCGAAAATGGTCACGTGCCACAGAGAGCGAAGCGTGAATCTGTTGAAGTCGAGCAAAAACACGGAAAATACTTAGCGATCAGAGCGAAATGTTGGGCCGCTGCACAGCACCCACGACAGACATTTGACGATGGTCTTGACACTTTTGCGCGAGATATGGAACACGGAGCTGTTCTATTCAAGTCTCTTTCTTTGTTGTTGCAACAAGTCCTAATCTTGATAATCTTCCGGATCCGCGGAACGCTGATAGCTCTTGGTTGGCCCACTTTCGCAAGCGGTTCATGATGCCTCCTTCCCTCGTGTTGCACCACTTTCTTTTTTACGTTCTGTCGTTGATATGAAGTCTTCTCTGCAGCAGAACATTCCTGGTCAAAGAGTTGAGCTACGGTTGCCCGATTCCTTCTTGAGGTGTACTCAGGGGCTTTAATTTATTGATAACAGCACATGTTTGGCCTGCGTTTCTCAGGTCTATACGTCATGCAGCTGAAATAGGAACTCGTTGATTACCCAGGAACTAAATTATCAGGCACTACTATTTCGCAGCCACCCTGTACGGGGGACGTGCACTACGTGCGTCCGAGAATGCGCGTGGCAAATTGCGCGGCGAAGTTCGTAACGATTTGAACGACTTTAGCGCCCATCATTGGGGACCAAATTTGCAGTAGAGTAGATAAGAAGGATCATCTGACCCTACTTAGCTACTCACACGAACGAAAATTCAGTCCGGCACTCGGCTCTTACAGTAATCCGGCACGTGTTAATACGCAAATTTTTACCCGTCACATATACGACGCGTCGAAAAGGGGCTTTGGGCAAGGACACGGGGATGAGTGGTACGGTAAGCCAGGGGGTTACTGTAAGAGCCGTGTGCCGGACTGAATTTTCGTTTTAGTTAACTACTCTATTTCAAGTTTGGGCCCCGAAGAAAGGCGTCAGGGTCTCTCAAATCGTTACGGATTTTGCCGCGCGCGTCCTCGAACGCATGTCCGTCCACATACCCACCCTGTACACACTCCATCCATCCTGTGCACTTATGGTAACAACCCCTCGCCTCGACACTTCCCCACACATCACCACTCGACATCAACGTCCAAACTTCATATGCTCCTACTCGAAGTCGCTGACCTGCATTTCTTGTACTGCTCTGTCCTCTGCACCGATTGTCATCACAAAGCAGAAAAGGTCGATCGTATGACAAATCTGAACACTATGACTGCAGAAAACGTTTGCTTTTATCCAAATACAGCGCTATCTTTATGTAAAGCACCGAAAATAATTTGCTTGGTAACATCGTGGTTGTGAAAATTCGACAGAAAAGGACTGAGTCAACTAATGACATACATGATGTCAATATTCTTTCATACTTCGTGGCCCTCGGGGCTTTCGGAAAGTAAAGGAATCACTGCAAGTAAATAAGAACTTAAGTGATTGCATTATATGTACACATACGTAGGTAGAGATGAGCAAAATGCATATCACTTTGATATTCGGCTTGGTTGCGTGAGTATTTTGAATGGGCAAGAGCTGAAGAATGATAAAACTATGACGAGGATCTAGTAGTAAAAAATGAAACAGCTGTGGTCACGCGATAAAATACCGAGAAGAATAGTAATGGTATGACTTTAAGCACCGTAATTCACGGTCAGTCAAAAAAAGGTTAACAGCAACAGTAACAGTACATTAAAAAAGGGAGACTTCCAAGAACTTGTTACTGAACTTCACAACATTACTTCCATGGAATAAAGTAAGGTGAGTCTTGAAACATCCAAATAGACTGGAAATCACTTCCGAGCCAAATCGCATTTTGCGGATTTTAGAAAAATAATTTGATAGTTTCTGTGAACTGGTAGCATAAGGACGGCTTCTCCATGTTCACAAGGGAACAGAAGACCTGGCATCAACCGGTGATGTTCTGCTTTGAACGGTCTCAGAGAAGTAGACATCAGATTTGAGGCTTCGACTGCTGAGATTGCTACGATTTGAAGCTCGACTTCGATAAGATATTTTTGAACCTTTCGACGAACGGTCCGATCTGGAAATAAGCTGCTCATCCATAAAAAAGAATTAAAAATATCAAAGAAGGTGTACAGAAGTACCATAAACGTTTGCAAAAATCAAGCTTGAAAACGTAAAAGGAAGCTCAGGGCCAGTTTCTGTCGTACAGAAATGGAGTTCTGACTTGAAGATTTTTCTCGAAATACCCATTAATAGAAACTCCTTCCAAGGACCTACAGAGACCAATAACCTTTAGTCTGAACAAGGGACAGTCTGTACAACATTTAGAAACTATTTCTTTTCTCTGTGATAGTTGTCATGAGGGATAGTCTGACCTTTCCGAAGAGGCGTTTGCTTTGGAACGCATGCTGATTTTCTCCTCAACAATCCAGTACATGAATTCAGCACGAAGTTTCTTTGTATCAATATAAGCAGCAATGGACACTACTAGCCAGGCCATGTATGCCAACAGGAAGGCTGCCGCAACGTAAACATTCCTGAAAGATAATGGTCCTATTAGTTATTATGCCAAACTTTAATGAAAAAAACGTAGATCTTCTCATAAACGAGCAGTGTACTAATATGAACAAAGCTGATGTTGAAGAACATTCGAAAAAGACGGATCTTGTAGAATTGATCTA